CCGCGTGCTCCTGTCGTTCCCAAAAATTACGTGGTCAGTGGCGCCCGCACAGCGGACCTCGCGAAGCGCTGTCCTGGGAAGAAGCCTGTGAATCTCCTCTTCGAAGGCCTGGACCACGTCACACGCACCCGAAGCCACGGGAGGAAGAACTCTCACTGCAACCGCGGAATTGGGGGGCCCACTGGAAATGTGCAAGCTCCATTTCCTTCAACACCTCGGCTTCTCCTCCACTTCGCGGCCCAAACTTCGAAGCAAAACTTCTGCGCCTACGCTCAGCCGTGGTCCGCCCTACAACCGAGTGCCGTCCACCAGTGTGCGCATTGCGATCGTCCCTCACCAATCGCAAGGCGCCCAGTCGATTTTCTCAATCCCAACACGCCGTGCGGCGCAGCCTCGTGGGGCTTGAGACACTTCGCAAACAGCTCCCGAAGGGCGGCCTCTGGCGCCACCAAATCACACTTCGCACGTTTGAGGATCTCGTAGTCCCGCACATCTATACGACGCGCCCGCCCCTCCCAAAACATCGCGCTCTGTTGTTGAGATTCGGGCGTTTAGTATGCGCGATCTCTTGGGTGACGTCGACGGGAGTATGACGATAATCGGTACTTAGCGGTTGGCTGTTAAATGCGCGCAGGTTACATCGTTACACCCGAATGACTTATTAAGATATCTGTCGCAATGAGTAAGTTCGAAAATAGCCGTAGATATTCAGATTTGCGTGAGATCTTCGGACTTGCTTATCCTCGGTCAACTAAGCCTACTAGGCTATCAGTGTAGACCTAGACTAGTTGACTAGGAGTGTGACTCTAATTGAGTGAGTCTAGCATAGCACACAGACTGCAGAGCTTTAGCGCCGCTAGACTCCGAACACTTGATATGTATTGTGTAAATTTGATCATTCGATCATTTATTCCCAACAAAGCCGTGTTTCAACAAATTATGGGCCCACGGCGCACGGACGGCGCACCACGGCGCCTGAGGAGTGAAGGCGCAAGTATTCAATAGTAGACCTCCAGAAGGGTGAAAATTGAATATGTGCGCCAAGGTCGGCCAATGGTTCTCTTTTGTCAATGAAGGCATCGGTGGGGGCGCTCTGCTTTATCGTGGATGCTCTTGAGCAAAGCGACATTTGAAAGTCCGTAAGGGGGATCAAGTGGCAGGGAAAGCCTAAAAGGAAATTTTCCACCTTTGGTCCTGAGAAAGCACGAGGTAGCTCCGGTGCTTAATTCGAGCCTCGTGAATTCGGGCAATTACCGTCGATCGGTCCCACGGCGGTCCCGGGATTATCCCGTACACCCCGTGAGTATTTTCGAAATTTCACGGGGAACTACTGGGGTTCGGCCCGGGGTCACCGGGGGTCGGAACGGGCAATATTCGGAGGATCCCCAGACTGTCCTAGGATAATATGGGGATTTACTTGATAAATACATCAACTTAATGTCAAGCAATAGGGATTTTAAAGAAATATATACTTGTAGAAATCTAAAAGCAAGCTGCATTGAGTGTCTTGAGCATGATCACAAGGTGCCATCAAAAGTTGATCCCCGAAAGTGGTGTTTCATGGGGCTTTTGTGAAGGCTCCTCCATTTTGAAGGCGCCCCATGAAAATTACACAAAGCTCCTTCTTCATAGCTAGCTAGCTTTGGTGAGGTCCCGGACTCGGGATTCAGAATGGAGCACCTAGCCCTAGCTAAAACCGCCCGGTGGAAGCCCGAACGTTGTAGCCTGTAGGTAGGTACTATGCAGGTACGTACCAGGGTGAATACGGTACATATCGTACGGCACTAAATCCGGGGTACCGCGATACCTAGGTACCCACTTTACCTACCGGTATGCCTACTTAGGTGGCACTTGGCCCGGTACTTGGCACTTGGTACCTAGGCACCTACTTCCCTACCTACTTAGTACTTGGTATTCTCCGAGTCATGGTGCCCCCATCATGCCATGGTGCCGGTCGGGACCGGCTTCAACATCCGTAACGCAGCCAGAGGCTTAGCCTTAGGGCTACCTAGGTTACTACCGGTAGGTAGGTACCTACCACGATCCAGACCCCGGCGCGGCGCGGCGCGCTGTGTGCTACGGTAGGTATGGTAGCCTGTAGAAATTACCTAGATACTAGGTATATACTAGGTAGACAGTCTAGGTACCGTACCTGCCTACTGTCCCGTACGTCGATAGTTCTTCCCGTTGAGTACTTTTCAAACTCCCGGTATCGAAATCGAAAACCGAGACTTGCGGCCAAACTTTGGCTGCCCGTGAGACTCTCGCGCAGTCCCACGACGGTCCGGCGAAAATCCCCATGCGAAAATTTGACAGTTTGGGATCTCCTGGGGGCGGCCCTGGGACGGACCCGGTACCGACCCTCGTAAATTGCCGGAATTCACGAGGATCAAATAAAGCACCGTAGATATCTCGTGAGAGAGACAGGGAACGCAATCCCGAAATTGGCCAACGGATACAAGGTCCACATCGATAAGTTGGATGTGTAGAACTATAGAACGTGGAGTTCGAAAATTAAGTTTCTTGTGACTTCCAAGGATCTATGGAACGGGGTTGAGGATCCCGTAGCGCACCCTGCACAATCAAAGAAAGCGTTGTCCATCATCGGGCTAAACGTTGAGGACCACCATTTGGGGTCGATTGAGGAGTGCAAAACCGCAAAGGAGGCGTGGGATCTCCTTGAGAAGACCTACAGAGCAAAACCAATGCAAGGAAGATGCAATTCAGGCAAGAGTTGCATTCTCTCAAGATGAAGTCGGTTGAGCCCGTGACCTTGTATGTGGGTCAGGCAAAGGATTTGTATACGGACTTGGTCGCCACCGGTTTTGAAATGAAGCCGAATGAGTTGGCATGGAGCGTGCTTGCGGGATTGCCTAAGTCGTTCAGGACCCTGAGAACAATCCTAGAGACTTTGGAGAGCGCTTTTAGCTCGGTGGATGCGATTCTGCCGAAGCTCTTGGTGCAAGAGTAGGGGTTTGAGGAGTCGCCTAAGGAAAAGAGCGGCGGTGGGTCGGACTCCGCAGTGGCCTATGTGGCTGGGCGGAAAGTGAGCAAGGAAAAGGGCCACGGCAAGGTTGAGAGCCGGGGCAAAGGGCCCATGTGCTATGATTGCGGGAAGTTCGGTCACATTGCTCGGAAGTGCAGCAAGCCGGACAGGCGGGAGCAAAAACCGGAGCAGAAGAAGGTGGGAAAACCTCCCAAGGGTGTGGCCTTTAGCATCATTGAGGGAGTGTCGACCGACGAGTGGCTCGTCGATTCGGGTAGCTCCCAACACCTGACTAGGGACAATAGCCTATTTGTGAGCCTCGAAGTTGCCGAGAATTCACGTCCGGAGACAAGGAAAGCCTATGGGCATAGGGGAGCGGCTCGGTAGAGCTGCATTGTGCGACACCGATCGGAGAAAGTTTGGTCACTCTACAGCACGTGATGTATGTCCCGGGGGTGGCGGCGGATTTGATCTTGGTGAGCAAGGCCACCGAGGTTGCGGAGAAGTTCGACGTGCGCGACCTGGGGGAGGCAAAATACTTCCTCGGCATGGAGCTGACGCGCGATAGGGAGGCGCGCACCCTAAAGCTAACTCAAAAGAAGCTGACGGGGGAGCTTGTCGGACGATACGGACTAGCGAGCGCTCGGGCGCGCTCGGTGCCTCTCGGAACAGGGGACAAATTAACCAAAGAAGGTGAACCTCTCGACACAAAGCGGTTTCCCTACGGTGAGTGCGTGGGGAGCCTGTGTACTTGAGTGTGTGCACTCGGGCCGACATTTTGCATAGGCAGTGGGTGCGCTTGTGCGCCTTATGGCGGGGCCGACGGAGGAGCACTGGCGGGCGGCGCTTGGAGTTGTGCGCTACCTGGCGGGTACGGCTGAGGACGGAGTAACCTTTGGGGGGAGCGGAGAGGCTCTCATGGCTTATTGCGATGCGAATTACGCGGGTGACGTGGACACAAAGCGGTCCACAACGGGGTACGTCTTCTTGATGTATGGGGGGGGGGTGAGCTGGTCGAGCAGCACCAACGGTGGCGGCCTTGACAGTAGAGGCGGAGTACATGAGCGCAGCGCAAGCGGTGAAGGAGGCGCTGTGGTTCCGCAAGCTTGGAGCTGGACCTCGGGACGGTCCTGATCTACTGCGACAACCAAGGGGCAATACGGCTCCTCAAGCACCCAATCGCTTCACAGCGGTCGAAGCACATTGACGTGATTCATCACTTTGCACGGGAGCGTGTGGCACGCAAGGACGTTGCGTTGGCGTACTGCGGGACGGAGGAAATGAAGGCGGACATCATGACCAAGGCGTTAGCACCGGGGAAGTTCAAGAAGTGCAAGAGCCAGATAGGAATTGCATAAGTCATTAGTGTGTGGGGGAGTGTTGAGATCCGGGCATTTAGTGTGAGCGATCTCTTGGGTGACGTCGACGGGAGTTCGACGATAACCGGTACTTAGCGGTTGGCGGTTAAATGCCCGCGAGTGACAACGTTACATTCGAATGACTTATTAAGATAACCGCCGTAATGAGTAGGTTCGATAATAACCGTAGATATTCGGATTTGCGTGAGATCTTCGGACTTGCTTACCCGCGGTCAACTGAGCCTACTCTAGGCTATCAGTGTAGACCTAGACTAGTCGACTAGGAGTGTGACTCTACTTGAGTGAGTCTAGCATAGCACACAGACTGCAGAGCTTTAGCGCCGCTAGACTCCGAACACTCGATATGTATTGTGTGAACTTGATCATTCAATCAATCATTTCCAACAACGCCGTGTTTCAACATCTGGCATGGAACATGGTCGGACAGCCTCTGTCCCTCGCCCCCGGCCGCAAGCGCTCTTGCTTCCGAGGCGGGAATCAGCCCCTGTCGAAGGTGGAGGTATTCTTAAAATTGGGCGTTTGTAGTTAGCCGAATCACCGTGATTAGGATTCGGCACGAGTTAGGGTTTGAACTAATGAGCGCCGGCGTGCGTGTATGGCGCGGTTAGACGATTAAATCGTTAGGGGGTTTGGAGTTTAGGCGGTTGAGAGCGGCCGTCAGTGTAAGCCGTAGATGAGGATATCGAAGGCTGAAATTGAGTGTGGTTGTGAGCTAGGCTAGTGAGCCTAGTAGTGTGTGACTTAGGCTAGTAAGCCTAGTAGGCTGGTGAGCCTAGTGGACCGGGAGAGACCCTTGAGACATATGCTGGTGGAAACCACTATCATTGATACATCATTCTAAGAGAAGTTTGTGGAAAAGGAAGCCGCTTGTGAGGCGCTTCGTGTTTTCCTCTTAGGATGCACGACTGCCATCAATGATTGATGAGCATGGTGCCGGGCAACACGACAAGACCCGATGACGAGTACCTTAACTACACTACGATCCCTTCCCTTGAGTTTCAACAGGTATGTCGGGGTTAAATTGATACTTTTAACTTGAAGAATTCTCTGTGCATAATTGCACCAGGACCTGTTCAAACAAGAGCTGGTAACACTTTCCTGCTGTATTTCCCACTGGTGAATTGCAAAAGACGCATACGACACTACGCTGGCAAGCTATCTACCTCGCAACCGGGGCGGTCAGGGTCGGGGTGACGACGAAAGAGGATTGCGCGCTCACTCTCAAGATGCTGGCGCCTTTGTCTCACCGTTTCTGTGACGGTTGGACAGGGTCACACGCTGCCTGTCTACTTCACAT